TTCAAAAGATTGTAAGGAGTGAGTTTTAGAGAGAATATGAGAGTTGATTATGTATGTTAGGTTGAGAGACTAAGAGACGAGAGTTGAGTGGTTCCTATTATAGTTCTATCTAATACATAGTGAATTTCTCTTATTATTGCCCCATGGATCTAGGTTGAAGTTGGTTGACCGAACCACGTAAATCTTGGTGTTCTTTCTTCTTGATTGTGGTTGTTTTATATATTGTTGATTGTGGGTTAGCTTCCAAATTGCATAAATCGTAGTAGGCGGGGAGACAAATTCCCTAACACTGTGCATATGAATAGACAAATGCGAACATAATCACACAACAATATTGTTCAGGAACCAAAGGTTCATTTTGACCCGAGGATCCGAGCTAAGAAAAAGAGAAGACAAAAGCTGCTAATTTTCTTAACCGTTTCATTCTTTAAGTATCTTTTCATGTCAGAGACTTCTATTCAGAATGAATTCAAACATTATACACCATAATAAGATAACTTCACATTCTCACCGTTTTGGTATATCTTCAGGTATCTGGTTCCCTGGCTGTGAGAAGAAATGTTTGGCATTTTGAGCCACCTCTGCTTCCAGTATTGCTTCCAGCACGATATCTGATCCTTTAGGCTTACCTGGGCATTACATCAAAATCCAAGATTGCTTTAAGATGAGCATATGCAAGTAGTAAAAGTAGGGAGTGAAATAGAAAACAATAAATATATAAGACTAATATTAATTTCTGACACTTTTCTAGGACACTCTGTCGATGTCGTAATTTATGATTATTAAATACTTACGTCATACTAATTGTGTATTATTAACTATTAAGATATATATTTATCATCCATATATGTTAAGACCAAATTAATAGAAACAAATTGAAACAGAGATTCACACATAGCAAAGTAAATATGCTTCAGTATAATAGAGGAGATAGATTTGGTTGTTATATAGAAAGATGTATTTAGACCAATTCCCTGATCGATCGGACCTAGGTAAACATAATATCAAGTTTTGAAATATCAGCAAATACCAATAAATCAGCTGTACTTATCAGGAAATTAAGCACGTTGAACAGAACTGCCCAAAACAATTGATACTGTCAATATTAGCTAAAAAAGGACTAACAAATATTGCATTGGCTAATAACACCTAACATGAGTACGATTACATTTTACCATAGTTAATTTTATAATATCATATTAGGAAAACTGAAAAGAAATCAATCACAAGAAAACTTAAAATTAAACAAACTTATTTCATATGCTGATACTTCAACGCAAAAGTGATGAAACTGTCAAACTACTGCCACCAATACAAATAAGTGAGATTTTTAAAGGAGGGTTGATACGAAAAACTCCCTTCTCCATTGGCAAGTTTAACAGTAGCAGCACAACAGGCTTATTTGATGCAGGACCAACTGATTGATGAACATCTACAAATCTCTTAAGAAATGTGGTAGGCTTAGATCAAAGTTACTGATAGATTTGGCAATGAAAACCTTCTAAACTCGAATACATGTAACTAGAAAGTGATGATGCATCCTTTTGTAGACTACATGAGATCAAAGTTACTGATAGAACATAAATCAAAATTTTCTTCTTGGCGTACATCACACAATCTCAAGAGAGGTTTTTTTAGGCTGTTCTAAAACAAGAATGCCATACTATCATTAAGAAAGAGAGGTAAAAAAAATTTTAAAACAACAATATTCCATTGCTAACCTAGCAAGGGAATTCAAGCACTAATTACCATTATTATTTATGCTAATATTAAATGGGATAAGATAGAACAAGCCCACTGAGTAGAGAAATCAAAGGAAAGAAGTTCGGCAAATGTAAAATGCTCATGGTATGATAATTGCTAGGGAACAGATAAGTCAGAAATCTCAATCGTTCATGCACATTCTTAAGTTAATTCCAATCTCTAGAGTGCAAGAAGCAAGTGAAAATCTCCAAAAATCAAACCATAAACCAATAGTCAAAATTGAACAAGAATGCAACAGAAGCTCTGATACTCCATGCTCGTGAACTGTTTTAGGTACATAGTTTAACCTAGAATTCCTCAAAATTCCTCAAAAATCAACAAAATTACAACCACAAAATCAAGCTAAGATCTTAGTCTCCTAATTTTAACCTAGAATTTAGAAATCGGGGCTGAAAATTACCTATCTAGGGTTTCTGATCTGATCCTTGAGCACTTGAGAGAAAGTCGAAGGTGGCGCTTGCGCTCGAGGGGAGAGGAGATCACAGGCCCCGAGGAGAGAGGAGATCCAGGATGAAGCTCGAGATTCAGGCAAGAGGAGATCAAAGGTGGGGCTCGAGCTTGAGGAGAGAGATCGGAGATGAGCTCGAGATCGGAGATGAGCTCGAGGGTAGAGATCGGAGGTGATGAGTTTTTTCCGGAGACGAAGGGACCAAGGGCTTCTTCGTTTATGAGAGACGAAGCGGGTCGGTGTTATACGGGTTGTTATATGGGTTATACGGGTTGATAAATGGGTCAGGCGGGTCAACTTAATTTACCCATTTAATAAACGGGTCAGTTCGGGTTGACCCGTTTATGACCCGACCCATATAACTTGACCCATACCCAATATAAACGGGTCGGGTCGGGTCGGGTTGATGGGTCGGGTCATAAATTGCCACCCCTAGAACGCACGTTCAACCTGTAAGAATTTGAAACTTCTAGCACGGTTGGCCGCGGTTTATTATTCACGCATCTTTGTTTATCCTGTGTAGGGTTGATCGTGCCGTCGTGCTTTTCCCCATAGTCCTCTGGTTGAACTGGCTGGGTATGTCGATTTGGGTCCTTCCTAGTGGTGCATATGAGTGAGCATAGTGCAGATCTGCATCCTTGTTCTTTAGCATAGAATTGCATCGGTGACGTTCGAAGAATTCATCATGTATAGTTAGCTGGAGTTTTATTTCTAGTCATTAAAATCAATTCCCAGTAGCTTGCAAATTTAGATACATTGGTTTGAAAGATTTTTTATTTATATGATAACTTGGAAAAGAGAAAAAACTGTTATAAGATTTCCCCAGACTGTTAATGTGTGTTTCTGCCTGGATTAAAGCAAGATATCATATTGGGGTTTTAAGTTCAGCCTTTGCAAGGTTACATACAACCACTGATCGCACGTTTAGATTGCTATTTGCATTGGGGACTATTTGGTGATCAATTGCTCATCAAACAACACTAGATTAGGTTTTGGCGATAATTCGCCCGTCTACACCTGCTAAACTGTAAAAAAAAAAGATGGAAAATGCAAAGTCCTGCTGCAACCTCTGATGCCTTACTCTTGGATGGAAACCTCAATATAATAGTAGGAGTTGTAAGCTAATCCCCTTTAGGTCCCTATATCTAATGAAGGTCGTTGATTCAAATTTCTTGATATGATTCTGAGAATTAAGATGAAGGGGGCAATTTGGATTAGAGCAGTACCATGAAAACCATATGGTCCAACTTACCTACGGTTCCGGCCAATCCTACAGTCTCCTTATGATCCAGCCCTGTTCGTGCCAGAGCTTTGTATGAACAAAACCTCCTAGTCGACAGCATGGTGTCTACGAACCTCAAAATTGTTTGCAAAGGGGACTAGCTGCTGGCGTAAAGATACAACTAGCAGAATGCAGATCAAATCTTAAAGCCTTGCTCCCCTCTATACAATTTGAGGTCTTTGCATACAGATTGGTGAGGGCTGAGGTGGATTGGATTTGTGATCGCGAGAGAGGAATGTTGCTTGGCTGTTCTCCTTGATTGATTTGGAATTGTGAGATCGCGTTGTTCAGGCAATACGCGATTTCAATCTCTGTTCTCATGAGCACAGTTGTTTAGGCACACTTGAAATGTACCAGTTGCGTCGAAATAAACCGAGTGCATCATGTGTAGTTAGTTGAGGTTCGAAGCCCTACCTTTAACTTTTCTTTTGAACCAGTTTGCAAATATATCTATAGTTGGTATCTCCAAGTGAAGAAACTGTCAGAGAAGCTCTTCACATAAGAGCTTCGATTGAAATATTTCTCCTTTGTCTAGGTTTTCTCTAAACTAATGCATGTTTCTTGTCTGGATCAACATACTGCGTCGGAGTTTCGAATTCGTCTTCTGCAAGAACAACGCTTCTGTTTGCACAATTAGATTGTTATTTAC